AAAAATTAAGTATATTTTTAGTTACTCAACTTTAAAATCAAATTAAAATTCTTCATTTTTAAAATTTTGATATATATTTTAGTCTTTAAATTTTAAAAATAAAAATATAATTTTTTTGAGCTAATTATATTAGATTTTTTTATGTCATACTAAAATTTAAGTTATTTATACAATTAAACATGTTTCTGTTTTAATATTTATTAAAAAATATATTTAATAAGTCAAAAAAGTTTAATATAAATAAACCAATGAAAGTAGTTGTATTTATTTTAAATTTTAAAAATTAAATTATATGAAAGTTTCGTATATAAATAAATTATAATTTTGTTTAAAAAATAAAAGATTAAAAACATAGTTAACTTAAAAAATAAATTCAATTTTTATTCAAATAAAATTGAAAGAATATCATGAAAATATTAAAAAACTAAACACAAAAATCGCATAAGGTCACGTCTACCGATTGCAATAGTATAACCTAATATATGAATCGTGGAGATACTATAACTAATTCAATAACTATATTTTCACACACATAAAATTTTTATATTTATTATACTACCTTTTATTATTTTATTATTTTTTAAAATTGAAAAATTTACCTTTCTATGATTATTTTATTTTTATACAATACATTAAATAAATATAAAAATATATCATTTTACTATTATAACTAATTATACTGGACAATTTTTCAAAGGAAAAACGGGTGCATCTTCATGTTTTCGATCCGAATCCATTATCGGGTGGGCATGTCACATCAAAAACCCAACTTCCTCACATCATTATTACATCTATTACCTTTTTCTGGACACGTCGATCCAACAGTTTTGTGGATTTTCCAACACAAATCAAAAGTAACATTAAAGTAACAGAGAGCATTATTAAAATTTGAGTGGGGTTGTCGTTTTTAGCTCTTGTTCAATCGTTTTAAATACTTTAAAAAAAAGGTTAAATATATTTTTATATTTTATTTTTTAACAAAAATTAAAATTAATTCATCTTTCAAACTTTTAATTAATTTAGTTTATAACCTTAAAAATAATGTGAATTTAATTATTTATAATCATTTTTTTGTTAAATTTATTACTTTAGCTGTTCATATATTTGAGATTTTACTTCATATCTGTTTATTTCTTGACTGGAAAAATGATCTATTGCTATTTTAGTCAACAAGAATAAAAATTATACTAATACCTCAAAATGAACACATCAACTTTTCATTATTTTACAATCACTTGATTTTATCACATTATTATAAATGTATAGAGACAATTGGTTGAGATTCTTGAAGTGATAACCAAGTTATAATGGGAAGCACACAATATTTAATTAATTTTACTTTTGGTGTTTGGGAATGCAATATATGTATAAGTTCAGTTCATTTCCTGTGGTAAAAGATTTGCTATTATTGTGTTTGGGTGGAGAATTTTACATTTTTTATTTCAGATACGTCAGTGGTCTATGCATTCTGTTCAAGATTGATATTTTTTTATAACTATTTCCATTTCAGCACCCATATTTTGTTAACAAAAGTAGATTGAAAGATACTTTTATAAAGATTAGCATGAGAAACGTTGACATTCATCTTACACACTTAATAAAGGTAAAATGATTTTAAAAGAGCGATTGTAATTTTTCAAGAAAGAAAAAAAAATATAAAATAAAAAAAAATAATATTAAATGAATGTAAAAAAGAATTATGTGTGTCAAAATATCATCTTTTCTCTATAAAATATTAAGGGTATATCATATCTTATTTAATATATTTTAAAAATATCTAAGTGATATTTATATTATAATCGCTCAGTCAATAATCAATAGAGTGATCAACAACTATTTCGATTCTATCTAAAATTATGAATAGATCGATTAAGAGAATTATAGATAAAATTAGTATTAAGGATAATTACATCAATTTTAAATCAGATTATTAATAGTAATTAGAGTACTAATTAAAATTTTATCTTAAACTATATAAATATAAATTTGATATTTAAATAATTGATTACTTTTTTTTCCTGTATATTTATTATTAGAATATTCAAATAAATATTAACTTTAATATCAAAATATTTTCTATTTGAATCCTTGGAATGTGAAAAGTCCTTAAATTGATTAATTCATTGAAAACCAAAATTCAATATTCAACAATGGAGTATTCCCAACTTCATAAGAAATTTATTTGTCTGAAAAAGGAAATAAAAATTAAAACATTGACCTATATTTATTTATTTTTTTGAAAAAAACTTAAACTTGTTCTCCGAAGCCAAAAATATATTAAAACATGTATCAAGAGTGCATATATAATTAGCATTTCCTTATTCATTTAACGAAAACTTTGGTGTTCTGTCGTTGACTATAATCTAACCCTGTTTGTTATATTTAAAATACATATGTTTAGTTCCTGTCAAAAAATCTAATATACTTCTGTAAGGAAAAAAAAAATATAACTCATATATTTCCATACTTTTTATGTTTTTTTTTTATCTTTCAACCCAACATTTTATATATGAACATTAATTTCAGAAAGATTTAAGGGACATTTGACATTAAATCTATACAAGAGATCAATCAAGATTTTAAGACAATATGACTTTAAATTCTTGACAATTTCTTTCCCCCATAATTATTTATTGATATGATATCACACTTAGATTTCTTAAAGACAAACATAAGTAATATTCAACATTAGTAAATTTTGAATAAATTTATATAAAATAATTAAATATTATTTTTAATTTTAAACCTTAACCTAATAAATGTATAAATATATTTACTTATTGTTTCAAATATATGGGATTGAGTGTCGATTTGGAATAATTTTTTTTATCACTTGTTCTTAGTTGTTATCATTTTTTTTTTACTTTAAACAATTGAGTAGTTTTATTAAAGATACTTCCATACTTAATTCAGTTTGACTCTAATCGATTAAATAATTAATATTGTAATAAAAGTTTGTTAACAATTTTTATAAACATACGACTTTGTATTTATAATTTTTTTTCATAATTTTTTAATTAAGGGTAACCTAATTACAATCTAATTTTATTTAAACTTAATTATTGACAATTTTAGATTAACTATCTTATTAATTGATTTAGATTGTAATCGATTAGGAAATTGGATCTATATTATCGGTCGTTATTATCATGCTACTTTTTTCCTGAACAAAACTTCTAAATCAGTTTGAATTCTTAATAAGAAAATGATCACAACAAAGTTATATAACATCACTGCTTTCGCAACATCATTTGTTAAAGCTTATTTGTCCAACAATGTTTCCAACTCAAATTTCCATTAACTGAAGTGTTTCAATATGTCATACTTCTCTTCAAATTTTAGTATTGATAATTTCAGTCAAACGCCCTGTCCCACATGTTTAGAAATCAGATATACAAAGAAAATGTATCTAAAACCATACATATAAAACCCAACCATAGAAAAATGTAAAAACTATGTCGTACAAATTAAAATAATGTGAAAGATAGAAAATGTTTGAGCACACAAGATATACATTTATCACAATTTTTAGCAATAGAAAAATGAATAAATTATATAATAAGATTTAGTAATAAAAGAAAAACATTTTAATCCTCTAAAACCTACCCTTTTATTTCAAATTTAAACTATTTTCAATAAATAGAGATTTCTTGAAGTATAATTTTGTTATAATTAATCCTTAAAACTTATCTTGGACACCTAAACTTCTAATTTTATTATAATTATTTCTTAGAAGTTTTTTTTTAACATGTTTCTAACACTTTCACATTTGAATTACACAACCTAGTGGAAAAGTGTGTGCACACTCCAAAATCCTCTAGTTATTTTATTTTATTTTCACTTTTAAGTTGTTGGTTCTGATTTTTATTCTCCATATATTTAGTTGGAAAATGAAATTGGCTTTGTTTTATTAAGAACCATTGTAATCACTTCCACCACAAACCCACCCACCAAAAGTATCTTTCTGTAGGGTACAAATTCTTCCAATTTAGCTTTAATATAAACCACGCCAACCAAACCCACCATTGTAATATATACTTTCAAAATACCATTTTGAATATTTAAATTATTAATAAGAATAAATTCTAAATTAAAGTGATTAAATTTATAAGTTATCATTACAACACTGAATACTCAATATTAAATTTAAGATTGATAACCAAATGAAATATTTTTCTTTTCTTATTAATTCGTTTTAGGCAGTAATTTATATTTGATCAACGTCTGCTTGCTCAAACAACTATATCAATAAATTAAACTTTTAAAGCATTCATAATAAGATAATTATGTCTGTATGTATAATGAAAAGGTATAGAAGTAAAATATATATATAACTTGAAGAAACAAAAAAATATTTTTTGACAAAATGAAAAAAAAAAACGAGTGATTTACACATTATTTAATTTGAATGTGTAAGGAATATAGAAGTGCTTTGATATAGGATTATGCTAAACCGAAAAATAAAGAATTTAGAATGAGTGTTTCGAATTTGATGTTATTTCAAGTAAGAGAATCCAAGTGTCAAAACGTACTTTTTATTTATATCCAGTAACTCTTTTATCTTTATTAAGATATAAAATCCTGAAAAGTTAATTCTTTATTTTTTTTAGAGATATACTTGTCTTATATTTTCTTTTAATATTTCTATGATTATAGGATATTTCTTTTTTAATTTATCTCCTACCTACCATTAATCAGCCTACACCTAGTTTCAAAAAATTTATATTATGAAAGTCTACACCACCACACAAAAAGTAATACAAAAATTAATTATGGCAGTAATAAATTTAACATAATTTTTGTGTAATAATATATAGTTATTCATTTTGATTACGACTAAATAGAGTTATATATTCCATGCAAATAAACAAATGGCAAGAACACATGCAACAGAGTGAATCGTTTTCGAATTATCAATGTGTAATTCGTTTATTGATAGATTTGTCCATAGCAAAATGAATTCAAAGAATACGTTAGGATCAAAAAACGAACGAAGATGTTCAGTAGCTGCAAAGCAAACGTTGGTTGGTTGGTTCAGGAAGAAGATCAAAGGACGATTGGCATCGAACGGTAGCTATGAACATCAAGACAGCTTCTTCCAGATCCTTCGTTACGTTTCTCTGTATCAACGTTATCACGTACTCCATTAACGTGGCTTCGCAAGGCAACGTTAAAGGCACGTTGCTGGAAAGACCAAACTCTTCTTCTGCCAACTTGAAAAGCTCTCTGAAAATGTTGTTTTTCAAATACAGTAATGGAAGCACGAAGCGCTTCTTATCCATGCTGTATACGACAAAGTGACCCTTTTCAGCCTTCGTCCACACGCTGCAACCTTCTGCCGTTGCTGCATTTTCTTCAGTCTTTGGCCAGACAAGTCTCTTCCTTTGGTACTTTGTAACCTCTTTCTGCCACTTCCATGCCATTTGGATCATCTTCTTTGAACTGATCATATTCTTTCCAATTTACTTTCTACGATGATGAACTATAAGATTCGTTGGTTCTTTATATAATCTCAGGTTCACAGACAGTTTCTTGAATGCTGCTGATATTGTGCCTGCTAGCGAAAGCATGTGACGTGAACACGAAAATGTAGCAGAATAGTGATTTACAAGGGTGCATGCATGCATGGAGTTTGAGGTGGTCGAGCATGTCCCAAATTTATTTGTGATGTATGCAATATTTGTGACTGGCCACTTGCAACATGGTTTATTGGATTGGAGAAAGGACAGAATGGTGGGCAAGAACGAGAGGAAAAATGAACATTATTGTATTTAGTTTGGAGCATGTGGTCATGACTTTAATTGTGAAATTTGTAGGCATTCGCCGACTTATGGACAAGTGAGAGTGATTATGGAGCTGGGCCAAATGGAAAAGGCAAGAAAACGGGACATGTTGGATCTTAATTGTTTCTGAACTGTCTCCCACGACATTTTCATGGCTAAATCAAATGCATACTTTGGACTACTTTTTCCAGCTTTCACTGTATCAAAACTTAACACTATAGTTCAGTAGACTCACGTTGATCTAATAATTGTACAACATTAGTGTCCACTTGTTCTGTGTGGGAGGCTAAGCTCCACGACATGTGTATTCGTGAATCCTGTTTCAGGGCAAGCAAATTAACCCTTTCAAGTTCACTTTCTTTGTATAATATTACTGGTTGTGGAAAAACGTAGCTTGTTTAGTTCTATATAATGTTATTAAATCTTACGATTAATACGTATCAGAATCAAAGCAACGTAATACAGCATGGTAACTGAATTTTTTTTTAGTTTTGTTTTACTTTATTCTTTGTTTAATTTGAATGTTTCGCGTATATCGGATTTATAAATGCAAATTGATTTAATTTTGACAAATCCTATTTCTAATTATCCACGCTATTTAATTAGATAACTATATATTTGTCCGTATTTTACCGTCATGGCCAGAATTCATATTCATTTTTTTTAGATACTAATGTATCGATTTGTTAAATTCTATCATCAAATTAACGTATGATCAACTATAACGTAGGTTTTTTCGGCTTGATCAACAAATTATCTTGGAATACTGAACATTGATATTTCTAATCTGTACAAAATAAATTGATATGCCAAATTATATGGAAACATACCATGTGGTTTTCTTATTTGTCAAAAAGAGTAACCATAACATAACACATTTTACATTACATCCATTTGATACAAAACACAAAGATAAAATAAAAGTGTAAATTTTTATATCTTTTTAAGAAAGTAAAAAGTAAAAAGATGATAATATCAAATGTAAAAAAATTTAGGTCCGTAAAGAATAAAATGAATGATGCGGAAGTAGACTTTTTTATATACCTATATATCTATGGCTGTAACCTTAAGACTGGTTGAAAAGATAGGAAAAAAGAGGAAGTTCTGAAGCATATTCGGGAAATTGGTCTTCAAATCTTCGATTCGCTATCATATTTAATTGCAAAACTGGTTCCGAAGCATCACAGAAAATAATGGAGATTGTACAAGACTTGAATATCTATATTTGTAATCTTCATTTTGTATACACAAATAATATATGAAAATGGCTTCAAAAGCCATAAATAATCATCTGCCCGTTGCTCTGCATAAGATCATTGCTACGAGAAGAAGATGATGACGATGAGGATGCCAAGTGGTGACACGTAATCATTGTTGTGATCAAAGCCTTCTCAACATCTTCGGAAACATGTTCCCGAATCAACGAGATTACGTACTCCAAGAAGACGCTATCACAAGGTAACGTAATGGGTCCATCAGACGGTAAACCAAACTCCTCTTCCGACCATTTCAGAAGCTCTTTGAACACGCTGGTGGTGAGGTACTTTATGGGAACCACGAATCGCTTATGATCGACGCTGTAAACCACGAAGTGACCCTTGTTTGGTGTTGAAGAATGAACACGATCAAGATTCTGCTGCCTGGGGTATGAAATTCTCTTGCGTTTTCCCGCAGCCATTTTCTGCCACTTTCTTGCCATTTCAATAAGCCTCTTTGCACTGATCATGATGTAGAAATTCTGCGAGGAGTGTAGTGTTAGAAGGTGCTGTGCAAATTGATATCACAGGTTCTGGTTTTTATATTCAGGAAATTAGACAGCAGCATATGGTAGTGTTGTGCTGATATGGTGCACGGCCACGTGTTATAATGTTCAAACCACATAACATGAATTGGGCTTGTTGGTGATTATATGTTCGGTCTAGGACACATAATATTAATGACAATTTTTAAAAGTTGGCTGAAAAAGCTACATGGTAGATCGTTTTCGTAGTCGAAGGTGTATAGGAACCGTGAATTAACGTTTTTGATAAAATCCTGAAACGAAGGATTTGGCCGGGAGGTAACATATACCTGAATAATGCAATGCAAAGATAGTTTATAATGTAATTGAGTTTTGTAAGATGCATGAATGTGAACAAAAAACAAAAAAGTAAAACAGTTACAGGTGTATCGAAGTTTTTAATGCATCAAATGTTTTGTCTGGTATTGATGACTGTGCATGGCTAAATGTTTAGATAAAGGGAGGCACACATACACAACTTGGATGATAATTGTGGCACAAGTTTTTTTCCCATGCAACGTATTCTCACAATGGAAGACAAAGTTTTAATGTTTCAGACTCTCATATCTATACGCATTATTATTAAATTAAAAGAGCTTTGTTTTAGATCGAAACTAAATTTTATCATTCTATATAACGTTCTGGATAAGAATCTTGGATAATATATGACATATTTTTTCTCATTTTAAATATTGAACTATATCGAAAAAGGGAAACGAGAACAAGAAAAGAGTTATAAAAAAAACAGACTTAAGTGTTTCCGTAGAGGTCTTTCTGAAGAGACTTTTTTCTAAAACAATCATCAAATAATTATATTAAATAAAACCACCTACGAATATTTTGATATTTATGTGTGTTCTTATAAATAAATAAAAAATTTGGTATTAGCAACGAATAATAATTTCACCTATTGCAATTTTGTTTATTTATTGCATTAAAGTTTTCTACTTTAATACCAAATAACAAAAATAATTTCTTTAGCTCATACTGAAACACTCATGATCAAATTAATCTACTGAAATGGACATATATAAGAACTTCTTGATAGAAAAGGAATAAAAAATAATAAATTATATTGATATAGATGGTGATCATACCGAAATCTTCCATGATACGTGGAGAGTGGCTTTAATGTTCTTAAAAATTGGAATGAGTTTCTTCATAGAAAAAGATCTACTTCTTGGAAAAGACTTTCTAACGCTTGAAGAATGGTTGAATTTATAGAATCAAAAGTCATGAACCTATATTATCATTCAAAATTTCTTGAAGAATGGCTGTATTTATAGAATCAAGAGTGATGAATCTATATTATCATTCAAATAATATTTACCTTAAGAATATAGTAACATATTAGTTAATGATAAAATATCTCATCATAAATAATAACATAATATAAATTGTTGAGATTATATATGATATGTAGATATTATTATTATTTAAATAGAGTCGGTTTGAGCCATTTCAAGATAAAGAAACTTAATAAATTTTATTGAATGGTGCTCTTTATTATATTTAGTGGATCAGGTAAAAATAAATGGCAAAACAAAAGCATGATGTGTATTAGATTGAATCATTACAAAGTAAATAAAATACGTTCACGGGAATATATAAAATACTATTCAAGGTCCAAGTTTGAAACCAAACCTTCTTGAATGAGAATGAAATTCACTCATACGAGTTCTTAATAGTGAGAGTTATCTTTTGTCGAGATATCCGATACTTAAATTAATAAGAGTTTAAAAAAAATTGATTGATATTTATAAGTTTTCTTAAGCTTTCACATAAACTGATTATCTTACTTTATAATAAAAATATTATCGAATATTATAAGAGTTGTTTGGATAAAAGCATAAGAATATTCCAAATATTTTAGAGATTCTTCTGATATAACCAAATTACAACAAACCAAACAACTTTCCATAAAATTATACTTTTAAATGACAAGTAACGAAACCCTTGAAATGTCGAAACAGTTGTCATTTTCGATTGCGAAGGCACTTCAATTCTACACCAATTCAAACATAATGGCCATAGTTTCGTTTAAGATGGAAGAAAATGTTTGGTCGACTCTACTCTTTCGTCATCGTAATAATATAAAATAGAATAAAAGGAATAAACTATAAAATAAACTATAATATAATTTTATTAAAAGAAAGATTGTTAGGTTTTATATGAAAGACACTGAAAAGATTTAACATCAACGAATCATGAACAATTTTATATAAAAGATCAAGACCTTATTTTAAATCTAAAATTTTAAGATAATAAATTTATGTATTATTCTACTTATATTTTATTTATTTTTATTTAATACCAGACTTCTAACTTATTCAATTCCTAACAATTTTAATTTCAAGAGTAGATATAAATCTATTGTTTTAATATTTTGATTTGAGAGTGATATTTTACCATTGATGTTGAATTTCTCCTGATTTTCCCAAAAAAAAAAAGAACAATGTATAGATTCTCATATTATTATCTAACTTACTAGTTTAAATACATAAAGATCAGACCAATAATTAATATTTAATCATTAAATTATGAATTAATCACGTACTTAGATAGTAAATATGTTTTCTGATTAACAAATATATTATCACACTCCTAAATAAGTGGGAGAAAAATTATACCAAAATTTAAGAGTTCGTAATGTCTGATATAAGAGATACAAATAAGAGATCGAATATAGCATATATGATTATTAACTTATTTTCTAATTATTTATAAGTTAATAAAACTCTCAATTATAAGAGTATGTAATAAAGAATTGTAATACTTGTGTATTAAATGGTGACGTTTTTGAATTCTGAAAATGACTAATAATGTAATGCTAAGAAGTCTCGAAAAGTTGACTAGAACAATTATGTTAATTATTATGATTTAGATAATTTATATATCTTTTAAAAGCTTTGAAATTCCATTATAAAGTAGAAATAT